CTGGCGGAGGTAGGGAGGGTTGGGCAGCGGGAGGCACCTTTGAGGAGGTAGGAGGCACCTTTGAGGAGGTAGGAGGCACCTTTGGCAAGGTAGGAGGCACCTTTGGCGAGGTAGGAGGCACCTTTGGCGAGGTAGGAGGCGGCGTCCCCATTGGGGATGTAGTCGTAGATGAGGATGGGCGTGGCGCCCACCACGTACCCCTCCCAGGCGCAGGATGTTGGGGTGGTGCACCCGAGCCATCACCGCCACCTCCGTCTGCCATGCCATGCCACCATGCCACCATGCCACCATGCCACCATGCCACCATGCCACCATGCCATGTCCCCATGCCACAATGCCGCCATGCCGCCATGCCACCATCCACCATGCCATGGCCCCATGCCACCATACCACCACCATGCCGCCATGCCATCATGCCCATGCCACCATGCCCATGCCACCATGCCACCATGCCACCATGCCACCATGCACCTAGGGATTAGATTGGCCGGAAAAAGCTGACTAGCAGGCAGGTAGCTCACGAGTAAACAGTCAAATCAGCCCCCCTTGTTCCCCACGATTACCCTCACCCGTTTCCACCATTCTTCCCCCTCCTCCTTCATCCACCCCCTCCCTCCCCTTCCCACGTGGCGCACCATGAAGCTGTCGATGCCGTTGGCGATGTGCTCGCCGCTCATCAGCTTCACGGCCACGGCCCACACGCCCGCGCCCTGCCCGCCGTGCGGCTCCGCGAGGTACCCGTGGTACACCACGCCGAACCCGCCGCGCCCCACCTCGTGCTGGAACCCGCCCGTGGCGGCGTGCACCTCCTGGTAGCTGTACTCGCACACTCCGCCGCCCGCCTCCGCGGACTTGCGCACCCGGTACGGCGACCGCGGGTCTGGGTGGGGGGGGGGAAGGAGGTATTCGGGGGAGCGAAAAGGAGAGGCGTGGGGGGGACGGGGCAGAGAGGGTGGGCGGGCAAAAGGGGGAAGAGGGACGACTTGAGGGGGTGGGCGGCGTGACGTCGTTGGCAGTACGAGCGGGTGCTGGACGCTATCGCGATCGCGCCATCGGTACTGCAGCGTACCTATTCTGCTGCTGCAGCGCGCATTCCCTACTGCCCCCCCACCTGACCTGCTACGGCAGCGAGCCTCCAGCACGCGTCACCTGATCGCGACGATCCCAGCTGCGGTGGCGGTGGCGTTTCAGAACCTCTCGCGTGCGACGCTGCGCACCCCATCGCCACGTGGCGGTCTAAACGAGCGCCACGCGGCACGGGTGGAGTGGGAGGCAGTGAGAGGCGGGTCAACCTGATGTGAGTCTCGACTGGGGCCTTCTCGCACGGTACTCTCGACTCGTCTACCGCGCGTGGAGCGTGTGCTATAAGTTAGTAGCCGGCGCAAGTCAGCAAGTCGCTCGGTCTAGGCCACGTTCTCGGGAATGCCGAGCGTTGGTTCACTCGTTCCTATTCGCTGCGGATCGGGACGATCGTCAACTACCTAACGGTCACCGGAGCCAATACATAAAGGACACTCAGGCCTCTCAAGACTCCTCGTGGATGCCATTCGTCGGTCCTAAGCCGCGTCCCGCGGTCCACTGACGTTCGTGGTGTGTCCGTGAAAGCCTCAACAAAACGACGTGGTGGTCGCAGAGCTGTGCTGTGCTGTGCTGTGCTGTGCTGGGAGTGAAAAATATTCGAGACGAAGTGCAATTGTATGCGACGCCCGCGAAACACAAACTTTTCCTGCCGACCGACCGAACCGAACCTTGGGAACACCACTGTTTCAGAAACCACTGTTTCGCAGCAGCACGCTGGTTGCATCTCGCTGGCGATCGCGACTGTTTCGCGAGTCTGACTTGACTTTCGTGAATGGCGGGTACTCGGCCAATCCAGCTGGGTGCGGTCAACGGCAGTAGCGCACGACGCGTTGAAGCGAGCGGTAGCCATGAGCTCTTCAGTTGCGACACAGCTGGTCTTATTGGAAAGCCAATCTCGAGGTAGGAAGCAGTGTGACAAGTATTTCCCAGCAGCTTGAGTCCAAGTTAGGAATCTTTACGCGAGTACGACGCACACACGTGAACTTCACGACTTCAATTCCCTTGTTAGCCGATTCGCTTTAGGCAGGGGGTCATGCGGCGAGTCGAGTGTGCAGAGTTGAGCGTGCGGCCGTCACGCCACGATGAACCATGATCGACTGCATAACTCGCGAACTTCACGTCACTCCAGTTCAGGCCACGTGAGATAGCCACATCTTAGCCGTCCGTTCTCTCCGTCGCCGCGACTCACCAGCGCGTGACTACCAGACATCGCCCGTCGAGCCAGCCGGCGACTATCCTGAGTGCCAGCCCGTCGCCAGCTCTCAGCGTCGCCGTCGCCGTGCGACGGCAGGCGCCGCGCAGCGTCATGGGCGGGCTCTTCTCGCGACCAGTGGGCGACGGTGAACTGCGTACGACGCTCTGCCCCGCCCGCCGTTTTTTGCTCTCTATCACCTCTTTTGCCCGCTTTCCGCTCTCTTCCCCGAAACGCCACCAGTTCCAGTGCCACCACCAATCGCGCTATCACCGCAAGAACCGATCTAGAGTGGTTCAACGCGCTACTCCACTCAACTGGTGCTATCCATTTTATTCTCCGCTCACGAAATCACTCATTGCCCCCTTCTCTCCCCAACCCCCTATTTCTCTTCCTCCTTCCCCCCTCGCGCGCGCCAGACCCCGTGTACCCGACGGTGCGGGCGGCGGGGGAGGGGGGCGCGCGGGCGGGGGTGGGTGCGCGAGTACGCGTTCGAGGACGCGCTGCACGCCACGGAGGGCTTCAAGGCGCTCGCAGGGCGCGGCCCGTTCGGGTTCGTGTACAAGGGCTTCATGTGGGCGCACGCCGCGCGCGCGGAGGGGGACGGCACAGAGGGGGAGGGCGCAGAGGGCGCGGGCGCGCGCGCGCTGATCCCGGTGGCGGTGAAGGTGCTGAACGGCGACCCCGTCACAGGCGTGGGGGGGCTGGCGACCTTCGCGGTCAGTGGGGGGGGGGAAGGGAGGGGGGGGAGGAGGGGGTGGGGGGAAGAGGGGGCAAGGGGGAGGTGATGCAAGCATGGATGCTCTCAGTGGTCGTCTGTCCTATCCCCCCCTCCTTGCCTTGTCTGCACGGACCTTCGTTTGTGCAGCCAGCTCACTTGCTTCCCCTGTTGCTCCGTGCCCCTTCCTCCATGGCACATGGCACATGGCACATGGCACATGGCATGTGACACACGGCCCATGCAACGGACATGGGAACAGCACGAGTGCGCGCTGGTGGAGGAGGAGGGGCGGCACGCCAGCCTGCTGCGCGTGCACGGGTATGTGGCGCAGCGGCCGCCCATCATCATCTGTGACTTCATTGAAGGCGGCACTGTGGAGCAACTCATGGCACGAGGTGCGTGGAGCAGCTCATGGCACGAGGTGCGTGGAGCAGCTCATGGCACGAGGTGCGTGGAGCAACTCATGGCACGAGGTGCGTGGAGCAGCTCATGGCACGAGGTGCGTGGAGTAGCTCATGGCACGAGGTGCGTGGAGCAGCTCATGGCACGAGGTGCGTGGAGTAGCTCATGGCACGAGGTGCGTGGAGTAGCTCATGGCACGAGGTGCGTGGAGCAACTCATGGCACGAGGTGCGTGGAGCAGCTCATGGCACGAGGTGCGTGGAGTAGCTCATGGCACGAGGTGCGTGGAGTAGCTCATGGCACGAGGTGCGTGGAGCAACTCATGGCACGAGGTGCGTGGAGCAGCTCATGGCACGAGGTGCGTGGAGTAGCTCATGGCACGAGGTGCGTGGAGCAGCTCATGGCACGAGGTGCGTGGAGTAGCTCATGGCACGAGGTGCGTGGAGTAGCTCATGGCACGAGGTGCGTGGAGCAACTCATGGCACGAGGTGCGTGGAGCAGCTCATGGCACGAGGTGCGTGGAGCAACTCATGGCACGAGGTGCGTAGCTCAGCAGTTCATTCATTCACGCTCATTGCAAGCCCACTGCATGATGCCACCCTCCGTGCCATACCAATCCTGCATCTCCCATGCCATTCTTCCCCTCTCCCCCCCCTGCCCCCGTGCACCATGCAGTGGCGCGGGGAGAGGTGCAGTTCGGGTGGAGGGAGAGAGTGCAGATGGCGTTCACATGTGCGGACGTGTTAGCTCAGCTGCACCGACTCAACCTCGTGCACCGCAACTTCAAAGCCTCCAACGTGCTGCTGCAACCCGTGAGCTGCTGCTGCGCGCCGTGAGCTGCTGCTGCGCGCTGTGAGCTGCTGCTGCGCCTTGCACCGTCATTGCCTGCGTCCATGCCCAAGCTACCTCCTTTTCCTCATCGTCCTTCCATCTATCGGCCTCACTGTGGCACCATGGCCAGTCCATTCATGTTCTGTCTATAAACGACGTTCGCTTTGTTCCTTCAACCACCCTCCCTACCGGTGCTGCTGTGGCTCTGGGCAGGACGGCACGCCAGTGGTGGCGGACTATGGGTTGGCGCGGGTGGTGGCGGATTGGAAGATGCACGTGCAGATGAGGGGCGCCTCCTCCATGTCCTACATCGACCCCGCCTACTTCGACTCCGGTCCGCCACCTGCCCTCCCCCATGCCCTCCCCCCTGCACCATGCCACGAGCACAGCAGCATTGCACCATAGCAGCTCATCACTCATCAACACTTTCCGTCCATGCAGTTTCGCCTTGGCTTCACCCCTCCCTCTTAACCCCCCACCCAACCCCCCACTGCTCTGCGCGGCCTGCCAGGCACGTTGACGCGTCTATCAGACACGTACGCGTTTGGCATCTTCCTGCTCGAGCTCGTGTCGGGGGCATCAGCGCAGGGCCCGCGCTTCAAGGCCGTGCGCAAGGCCGTGGCCGTGGCGCGCGAAGCAGACCCCGCGCAGGTGCTGGACCCGGCGCTGGCGGGGCAGTGGCAGCCCGCTGCCAGCGCCATCGTGCTGGCGACCATCCGCTCCGCCATCCTGTACGAGCGCGACAACCGCCCCGACATGGCCATTGTCAGGGACCAGCTGCGGCGCGTGCTCGATATGATATGATGAGATCAAGGGGGGGAGAGGTTGATCATACGAATAGGGAGGATAGGTGGGTCCTGTGTTATTGTTTGAAGTATTGCTAGCTATGCACTAGGGGATGAAGGCTTAGCTTTATATTGAACGTGCTTGTACAGTCTCCATTTTTTACCGGCTGACTTCCAACCATGTGTCTTTCTGACGCTCGCCTTACAATCGCGGATATCGGAAATCCCAGTCCCTGATAATCTCAAGGCTCGCCTGCCGTCACTCCCAACCCAAGCCAGCCCGCCACCATGCCACTCTCCGCTCTCTCCGTCGCCCGCCCCCTCGTACCTGCCGCGGCTGCTTCCCCCGCAAGCGCCGCTCCTCCAGCGCGCGTTCAGTCCTGCGCTCTCCTCGCTAGTGACCGCCGCCTGCCCGCATTTTTCCCGCTGCGCGCAGCATTGCATGCGCGCACAGCCCTCGCTAGCGCCCTCTCCCCCCACGACCATGGATGCACGTCGGGCCCACGCGGTCGCCGCCAGCGCGCGGTAAGGGCGGCGGCGACCCTCGCGGTGGCGGCGGCAGGCGGCGGCGAGCTGGCGGCGTTCCCGCGCGACTACGACGAGGCCATCCGACAGGTAGCGCGTGCAGCAAGGAATGCGCGCAGAGGGCGCTAGCGCGGGGGGAGTGCGCGCATCGCAATGTCGCCCCATGCGCGCGCGCATTCCACGATGGTGGCGACCTGGTTGATACTCCTAGCTGTCCGTGATGCCAGCTCAGCAAATCTGATGCGTGTGTTGTGGATGGCGTGTGTGTTCCCCGTGCTGCAGGCGCAGCAAGCCACTCAAGCAGCTCTCGCCGATGGCCGCACGCTGCTGGTGAGACGCACCCGAAGGTGCCGCATCGTACCACCGCATTCCCTCTTCATCGCATTCCCTCTTAATCGCATTCCCTCTTAATCGCATTCCCTCTTAATCGCATTTCCCTCTTAATCGCATTCCCGCTTGATCGCATTCCCCTCTTAATCGCATTCCCTCTGGCATTACCTCGTCGTACCGGATTGGCCACTCACCACCGCATTGCCTCTCACAAAGGGTACCTCATTCTTCTCCTTCTGTATCTCTCAACCCCGCCCCCCCCCCTCCCCCCCCTTCCCCCCGCCCAGCCCACACCCGTCTTGGTTCTTTTTGTGTTGTCATTTAATAGCGGCTGTCCGTCGTGCACTGATGCTATGCTTTGATGCCATCCCGCCATGATGCCATCCCGCCATGATGCCATCCCGCCATGATGCCATCCTGCCATGATGCCATGGTGCCCGTGCGCCCACCAGGAGGTGGAGTTCCCCACGGCCAGCCTTGACTCCGTGCCAGGTGGGCTGTGCGGCTCACTGTGCTCTCATTTCACCTCCTGCCATCCTGCCACACATGCCATCCTGCCACACATGCCATCCTGCCACTCATGCCATCCTGCCACACATGCCATCCTGCCACACATGCCATCCTGCCACACATGCCATCCTGCACTCATGCCATCCTGCCACACACATGCCATCCTGCCACTCATGCCATCCTGCCACTCATGCCATCCTGCCACACATGCCATCCTGCCACTCATGCCATCACTCGCCACACATGCCATCCTGCCACACATGCCATCCTGCCACACATGCCATCCTGCACACATGCCATCCTGCCAACTACCATTGCCATCCTGCCACTCATGCCAGCCTGCACACATGCCATCCTGCCACTCATGCCATCCTGCCCACACATGCCATCCTGCCACACATGCCATCCTGCCACACATGCCATCCTGCCTACACATGCCATCCTGCCACTCATGCCATCCTGCCACACATGCCATCCTGCCACTCATGCATCCTGCCAACATGCCATCCTGCACACATGCCATCCTTGCCCACATGCCATCCTGCCACACATGCCATCCTGCCACACATGCCATCCTGCCACACATGCCATCCTGCCACACATGCCATCCTGCCACTCATGCCATCCTGCCACTCATGCCACACACGCCATGATGCCTCACATTCCATGCACGACCTGAAGCCACACATGCCATCGTGCCACACTTGCCGCACATGGCAACGTGTGTTGGGAGTCCTCAAGTGCAAAGCTCGTCTCATTGGTGCCCACCTTGCTCTGCCAATCTCTGCCCGGTGCTCCACTCGTCTTGGCTCGGCACCTGTCCCATGCCCCATGCTGGCGGGTGGCAGGCGATGCGGAGGGCGGGATAGAGATGACCAACAGCATGCGAATGCTGCGCCAGTACTGCCTCATGTTCGCCTCAAAAGGCCCCCCGCCCTCCTCCGTGCGCCTTGTGAGTTGCACCGCGCCATCGCTCCCGCTGCACCGCACCTCCCTGACTGTCCCTACCCTTCTTGACTTTTGAGTCGACTCAAAAGGCACCTCCCTGACTGTCCCTACCCTTCCCCTCTCCCTTCTGACCCTACCCCATCCTTCTCCCTGCATGCTAACGGCTGCCCCTACCCCTTCTCTCACCCCCTTTGCCCCCACACCACTGCACTGCATGCCACAGTTCTTCCCGGACGCCAACGAGCTGCCGGCAGCGCAGGAGGTGTTTGAGGGCACGGCGTTCCCCCTGGACTGCCTGACCAAGCCCACGGGGCTGGAGGACAATCGGCTTCTCGCGCAAGCTGCCCCTCGCTGACCGCGTGGCCGCCACCGACCGCCTCTTTGTGGCGGCCTACCCCTACTTCAACGTCAACGGTGCATGCTGCCCCCGCTCACACGGGCCACTCTGCTGTGCTGCACTGCGAGCTCGCAGCATGCCCTGTGCCCCTTTCATACCTGGAAGATTATCACTCCTTGCTGCTGATCTCATGCCTTGCTGCCGTGTCCCCCACGTACCGTGAGTGCAGAAATGCTGGCCGTTGATGATCTGTACCGTGACGTGGCACAGCCAAAAGGGGCAGCCAATCATTGTCTTCAATGGAGAGCTCGATCGGATCCGATCAGGATGTGAGTTGCATGAACGAAAGCAACATGTAACATGTCGTTATTCTTACCTTGTCAACCCTAGCATCATAACCCAGCTGCCTGATTCATAACCGTCGCAATGTTCTTTGGATGTGATATGCATTTTTCTTCAAGGACCGTTGCCTTTTTTTTCCCTTTGGTTTGCCTCGTTTGGCAGACTACCCGTCATTCTTTTACCCGAAACTGGCCAAAATCAATAAGGTCCTCCTTCCACTCTTCGAAGCTGCTTATTACATTCATAACTTCAAAGGACGGTTTGGGGGCAAGCTATTCAGGTACGTTAAGAAAGATTGTGAGCAATGTACTGGCTTGGTTCCCGCTAAAGTAATTCTGAATCAATGTATCTTGATTGGTGCAGGGCATATCCAGGACCGTGGCAAGTATTGAGGGAAGATGCGAACGGGAAGCTGATATGCATCCACAAACAAGACAAGATGCCATCTTTGAAGGAAGTTGCACTTGAAATTCTTCCCAAATAGCATAAGCTCAAAATGTTATATTAATGAAGAATGTCACTACAGCTTGTAACCTCGAAACCTTTCAATTTTGTTTTCGCGACCTTCAAACTCTCGAAACCTCCACACGAGCCAAACCCTCAAACGTGAGAATCGACGGTCCACGTTCGTCGATGGTTGAAGATCGAACGCCTCTCAGCAGGTCTCTCTGCCCTATTAGCTGCTGCTTCTCATTCTTTCTGATCTCTTTCGTAGGTGGTTAGCACGCAGCCATGGCGTCCAAACGAGGCAAGGACTCCCATCCCTTACCGTCTGTCATCATCGTTGCTTCTTCTGCTTATACATCTGTTTCAGAAGCCGCCTCGCCTGTAGTACTTCGGCGCACTACCCTGTATTGGTTTAGCTTCAGATTCGTTCAAAGTTGCGCACGAGTTCTATGCGGTCGTAGCCCAATAGAGTGGTTGCTCCCGTGAAGTCTGAAATGCAGCGGCGCGGTGTGTGGGTGTTGCGTGGCAGGTGGAACGACGACGGGAGCCAAGTTTCGAGTGACCCTGGGTCTGCCGGTGGCGGCGGTGGTGAACTGCGCGGACAACACGGGCGCGAAGAACCTCTTCATCATGTCGGTGTGCGGCATCAAGGGCCGCCTCAATCGCCTGCCGGCCGCCGCCGTGGGCGACATGGGTGATGGCGACGGTCAAGAAGGGCAAGCCCGACCTGCGTAAAAAGGGTGAGCGCCGCTACTGCCGCCACGCCCGCCTGGGAGAGCGATGTGCTGTTTTAGGGTTTGAGGTGTAGTGGAGATTGCCGGCAAATGCGTTCGTCTACTCGCGCCGTATTTTAGGGTTTAGACGCATGATTGTTCGACACCCTCTGGAAGCTCCGGATCTCGCTGCCCGCTTTGTCGGGCGGCGCGACTCGTGCTGCCATGCGCTCATGTATGTCATTCTGCTGCCTCACATCCACCCGCACTTTCCCCCCTTGTCCCCCGCCGCAGTGCTACCGGCGGTGATCGTGCGGCAGCGCAAGCCGTGGCGCAGAAAGGACGGCGTCTTCATGTACTTCGAAGGTCAGGCGTTGTGTTGCCTGTAGGGCCGAGTGGGGGAAAGTAGGGCAAAGCATGGCCAATCAGGGCTGGGTGGAAGCAAGTAGATTGGCCCCTTACTTGTGCGGCTGCTTGACACTGCGCGCTAGTGCCGCCAGAGGTAGTCAGTACGTCTGTCGGTTTTCGGAACTTCAGCACTCGTGGCCCTCCGTGTTCTCATGCTCGCGGTCTGTCTGAGCCGTTGCTGACGTGGCTGATGTGTGTATGTGCGGTGGTTGTGTGGTGCAGACAATGCGGGAGTCATCGTGAACCCGAAAGGAGAAATGAAAGGTGAGTTCACGGCCTCGTGCCCCGCGCGTCCCACGCCCTTCCATCACCGCTCGTTGCTTGCGCGCACCATGCCTTCGCTCGTCTCTTGCAACGCGCCCTGACTGTCGATGCGGCTTGCTTGCTTGCTTGTTTGCTTGTGCGTGGTGTTGTTTGTCTGTGGTGGTGCGTGCATGGCAGGGTCGGCCATCACGGGGCCGGTGGCCAAGGAGTGCGCGGATCTCTGGCCTCGTGTCGCCAGCGCCGCCAACTCCATCGTCTAGCACCCTCTGGTCCGTGCTGAGCCTCCCACCCCACACAGCTACCCCCCGCTTCTGCCCGCGGTCTCCTTATAAATCTCTTCTTGCTCTTCCTCCTGCCCCCCCGCTCCTCCCTCCCCCCTCCCACCCCGCCCTCTCCTCGCCTGCCCACATGTTGTTCTCTTCTGCAATCCACTGCCGCTCTTGCCTCTTCCCGTGGTGCCTTGCAATGCCAGCACTGCTGCCGTCTCACCGTGCTGTGTGTGCCTCGTCTCCTCGTGCAGGCACTAGAGGGCGGTGGAAGTGGAGGGCAGCGGGCCACACTGCCAGTGGGTTTGTAAGCGTGGAGTGGAGTGGAGTGGTGTGGAGTGGAGTGGTGTGCTGTGCTGTGCCGTGCGTGTTAGGCTGGCTAGTCATTGTGCTGCCTGACAGATGTCATGCTTGTGGCAATGCAAATGCACAGAATGTTGCCTCTGCTAAGCTCAAAAGAATCCAATGATGATGTTGAAAGCAATATACTAGGAAACGTGCATACATTTAGCATACCTGAAGCAAGAGAGATAATTAGGACACTTACACTCGCCCAACCAGAGGCTGCTCCAAGAACATAACCTGTCGCCCCCAGGTCCTTCACATGCACAACAGTTGCCCGCCGTCACGCATCGCGCACCCTGCGCACGTCTGCGGCGCTGATGTCACCCGCATGGACCACTCCGCACGTCGCCGCGTTCCCCCACCCGCGCCACATGCCCGCCCCGCGGAGTCGTCGCGCACCTATCCGCACGCCTCTCCTGTGCGTGCTATGCCTTGTCTGCCTCGTCCGCCTTCTTCCCGCGCAGGCCTCTCGTCGCCCGTTCGCTCCTCGCCATCGCAGCTGTCGCCCGCTCCCGCTCGTCGTCGCCTGACCCGATTGCCCGCGCCTGATCCCCCCTCGCAATCCCTCGCCCCGTCGCCTGTGGTGGGGTGGGCGGCAGGCGAGGGATGGGAGAGGGATACGTGGCGCGATCTGAGTGGCGAGTTCGATGAGGAGGAGGACGAGGGAGGTGAGGGCAGCAGCCGACGGGGGAGAGAAGACGAGGGGGAGCAGGCGCAGGACAAGGGGCCTGTGGGGGGGATAAGGGGGAAGGCGGGAGGGGGGGGCGCAGAGCAGGGGGGCAGCGGGCGAGGCAGGGGAGGCGGGCGGGCGGGCGGGGCAGAATGCGGGGGATGGGCGGGCGTGGTGGCGGGACGGCTGCCCCAGAGAGCTTGGCAGGAGCAGCGGAAGGGGCGAGTTGGGGGCAGGCGGCCGTGGGAGGAGGGGCGCGCGGAGGGTGAAGCGTGGCGGGTGGAGGAGGCGTGGAGGGAGTGGGACCGAGTCGAAGGTTGCGAGCGATTCCGAGCCAAACACGCAGGTCCGGTAGGTGGCAGGGGGTGTTGGAAGGGGTGAGAGGGGTGGTTTGGCACGTGCAGTCTCTGACTCCCCTGTGCTGCATGTGCAGGCCACAGCAGCAGCAGCGGTGGTGGCGGCAGCAGCTTCCAGGGCGAGGAGGCGAGTGACTGCTCGGTGCTGAAGCTGCCCCATGTCACCGTGCAGGTGCGCGCTCCACCCTCCACATGCCCCACCCACCAGCACATACCCCTTCACTCTCGCAAGCTTGCTACTTCTAATTCCTCCTTCTGCTCTTGGCAAGTTCCCCAACCGCGATCGTCCGGTGGCATTCCCATCCCGCTGCCCTTGGCAACCACGCGGTGCAGGTCATGGCGTCCTCATCCCTGCCCGCGTGGCTGGAGGGTTTCTTCACATGCCCCTGCGGCCTCACCTGCACGCTGTCGCGCAGTGAGGTGCTGGCGGCGCGCCCAGACGCCATGCTGTACGAGGGGGGCGCGCCCAGGGGGGTGAGAGTCAAGGGCGACCCGCTGCTCGTGCACGTGGCCATGGAGGCGGAGGGGGGAGGGGGGGAGAGGGGGAAGGGGGCGCGCAGGCGGGCAGTGGGGTGGATGTGACGGTGGGGTATGGCCCGGGTGCGGACGTGCAGTGCACGTATGCCAGCAACCTGCTGCTCGCCGACCACAACCCCCTCATCGCTGCCTCCAAGTCCCCCGTGCGTGCCCTGCCACCCTGCTGCCTGCTGCCTGCTGCCTGCTCCTGCGCTGCTCCTCTTCGTGCTCCGTCCTTGCCGTGTTGCACTGTTGTAGCATGGGGAACGAGACACAGTGCATGGGGAACGAGACACAGTGCATGGGGAACGAGACACAGTGCATGGGGAACGAGACACAGTGCATGGGGAACGAGACACAGTGCATGGGGAACGAGACACAGTGCATGGGGAACGAGACACAGTGCATGGGGAACGAGACACAGTGCATGGGGAACGAGACACAGTGCATGTTTGAGCACGCATCCCCACTATCTCGTTCGTCCATCCCCTCTGTCCCGCTCTCCCCACCACACGCAATCCCCCCCTCAGGCGCTTACCATCTTCCATGCCTCATCACGCTACTCGCCCTGGCGAGCAGCAGCAGCGCCGCTGCTACTGGCGCACCCCCTCACACACCGCTTCGGCCTGCAGACGCCCCTCCCACTGCGCCGCTCCCTGCGCCGCGCCTTCCCCCGCTGCCAGTACTCGCACGCACCCAAGGGGGCAGGGGCGCAGGGCGCAGGGGCGCGGGGGCAGGCGCAGGTGCACGGGCAAGGGGGGACGGGGCCCCCTGGTGTAGGATTGCAGGGTGGGGCCGTTGCACGGGGCACATCAGCTGTGGGGCGCAGCGGAAGTGGGGGTTTCAGTGGTGCAAGGGGAGGTAGGGGGGAAGGAGGGACAGGGGGAGAAGAAGGAGGGAGAGGGGAGTGCAGGGGGGGCGGAGGAGGGGGCAGGATGGACGGCGAGGGAGCGGGAGATGGCGGGCGTGGACGAGGTAGTTGGGGGGTGGCTTGGGAGGTGGGGCGCGCGGGGGGCCGTATGCAGGGTGGTGGGGGGAGCTGGCGTGTGCACAGTCGCACTTCCTCTTCTCCCTCGCCATCGAGCGCCACCACCGCCCCGCCTACGTCACCGAGAAGTTCTTCCTGCCCCTCCTCGCAGGTGCCCTCCCACCCCTCTTCGCACCAGTCCCCACCCACACACCATGCGCCCCTTAACAGGCTACACGTGTAGCACAGAATGTCCTCCTGCTCACATGCACACGTCACACCATCCCCACCTCTTCGGGAGGCGATAGCTCGTGAGAGAGTCTCGGAAGTCAAAAGCGTCAAGCATGCCGCACCATGCTACCTCATCCCCCACACTCTCATAGCAGGCAGTGTGCCGATCTACTACGGGGCGCCAGACGTGGGAGAGTTTGCCCCACCGGAGTCGTTCATGGAGGGCGGGGCGGAGAGCCAGGAGAGCATAGTGCGGCGCGTGCACGCCATGCGCAGCAACGCCACGGCATACCTCTCCCTGCACGCCTGGCGCCGGTGAGCCCATGCTGCACCGCACTGCTCTGCGCTCTTTATGTGTGTGCCCTGCACGCGCACTCACCTGCTTGCCACTCCTTGCCCAGTGCCACCCCGAACCACCTTCGCCCCCGAACTCCTCCCGCCCGCCACCATCATCCCCCTCACCCCCCAGGTGCGGAGTGCTGGGGGGGCTGCAGCGAGCGCTGAGGATGGGGTTTGACACTCTGCCGTGCCGCCTGTGCCATCGCATCAGCACCATGGGGGGGCGCGCACACACCTCGCAACCTCGCTCTGCTGAAGAGGATGCTGCTGCTGCTGGGGGTGATGGAGATGCCATGAACTCGGTCACAACTGTGATTTGAATGACTCTATAAATGGCATTGCTCAACGAATTAATAAAATTATTCTTTGTCTTAATAATTTCAAAACATTAACGTTAATTTTGAAATCTTGCAATTCACTCAAACACACAGCAGTGTTGAAGGGCATGCTCCTACAGCACCCTGCTAGAGCCAGACTCGCCCTGCACCGAACTGAACCAGACCAAACGTGTGAAACGCTCTGTACAATGAGTGTGTGACACGAGGTGGTGCTGACAGGAGGTGTAGGAACACGCCCTTGAGTTGCAGTGGACTTGTAGATGATGGCGTACAGCAGGCATTGAGATTGGCAGTGGCAACGGGTGGCAAGTCAGATGGGAGAGTGCAGGTGGTTCACATCCACTGGCCACCGCCCTGCTGCACCTCGCTGGGGTACAAGGGCACCGGCAGAGGCATGTCCTCCCCTGCCCTGCTGCTGCCTGCCACCTCCGCCCCGCTGCTGCTCGCCCTGTCTTTGATGCTGCTGCTGCTGCTGCTGCTGCTGCTGCTGCTGCTGCCGCTGTGTGCTGTGCGGTGAGTTGAGGCAGGGTGAGGTGGATGAGAGGGAGGCGGAGGTGTGGGAGGTGAAGAGGAAGGGAGTGGTAGGGAGGAGTTGAGGCGGGGAGAGGAGAGGTGGAAGGCGAGGGGGGGTTGGAAGGCCCAGAAGGCGAGGTTGGGGCGGCGCCACCACAGGGAGTCGAGGGGGTCGTCGACCTTAAAGCCCTCCACCAGGCGCGCTGCACCGCGGTGGGAGATGATGTAGGCAAAGGAGCACCAGGAGAGGGGGTCCCATGCGATGTGGGGGGAGAGCAGCGGCATGAAGTGGCCTGCCAGCACCCCCATGTGCCCCACAAACAGGATGTCGGGTGGTGACTCCGGGCTGTGCTGACGTGTCAACAGCTCATTGGCCTCGGCGATGTTCCGTTCAAAGTCGGCCCGGAATGTGCTTGTAGTGAAGGTGACGTCATCTTCCAGTACAATGGCGTAGGGAAGCTTCCTGCGCAGCACCTCGAGCCACACGAGGTAGTGCGAGAGAGCGCACGCCACCTCCCCTCTCGTGAGCCGCTCGCGCCGCCGCTCCGCCAGCTTGTGCCACCTGATGGAGCGCCGTGTCACCGACACCGCCCCCGCCCCCACCAGCCCCCAAACACGTCCAGGTTCCTCTCCGCCTCCACCTCCGCCTCCTCCCCCCGCCCCTGCGCCCCTCCCCCTGTCTCTGCCCCGTGCCCCCCCGTCCACGGCGTGCGCCACCACCACGTCCCCGAAGCCCTGCTGCTGCAGCAGCGGCAGCACCCGCTGCAGGCGCTGGGGGGAGCGGCGCAGCGACAGCACGTAGGCCGGCCAGAGGGGCAGCGAGGGGGGCAGCGTGGTGGGGAGGAGGAGCGGGGGAGGGGCGCGCACATTGGGCAGCAGGTGCTGCAGGTGGTGTGCGAGCAGGCACTGCGCGGGGGAGAGGTGTGGGCAGAAGGCGGGCGAGGAGGAGGGGATGGAGGAGCGTGGGCCGGCGGGGGCAGGGTCGCGCATGCGCCAGGGGGCGTGCAGGGCAGCGCCGGGCATGGAGGGGTGGGCGGGGAGGGCGAGCAGGATGGTGGAGCGGCAGGCGGGGGTGAGGCGCGTGGAGGCGGGCAGGGAGAGCGCAGGGGGCGGTGTGCGGCAGGGTTTGGGCGAGCAGGCAAAGATGGTGGTGGCGAAGAGAGGCGGCTCCGCTGCCAGTACGGTCAAGCCGGGGATGCCTCCCGTGCTCTCGGCCAGTGGCCTGCACGGTCGACAGGGGGGCATGTGCAGGGGCAGGGGACAGCAGGGGGTGAGAGAGAGGAGGAAGACAGAGGGAGGTGATGCACGGATTAAATTGAAGAGGCACATGCATGCGCGCTGGCTGCTGGCAAAAGCAAAGTCCGGGCAGCATGGAGTGGGGGAGAGAGAGAGGGGCTGGAGCAGGGGCGGTGGGAGTACGAGTGGAAGCGGGAGAGGGCGAGCAGGCGCTTGGCGCCGGCGTAGGAGAGCAGGTAGGCGTGCATGGCCTGGCTGGGCTGCGCGCTCACGATGCCCGGAGCCAGCTGCTGCTCCGCGTAGGGCGCGAGGCCGTGGCGCGCCAGCAGCAGCACGTCAAAGAAGAAACGGTCGGCGCGCTGCAGCATCAGCAGATTCAGCTCCCACAGCAGCTGGGGGGGCGAGGGGGAGGGGGGAAGCAGGGGAGGAGGGGAGGTGCAGGCATGTGGGCGTGAGGGCAGGATTGAGCACGTACGCCGTGGGAGTGGAAGGGGAAAAGGCAACACAGGCAGCAGGATAAGCACTGCAGCAGGATAAGCAATGCAGCAGGATAAGCAAGGCAGCAGGAAGCGTATTACGTGGAGTGGCCCACTGCGCCCCTTCCCGTCCCCCGTTGGCAGGTCACCATTTCGAAGCGCGCCTGCCAGGCGGCAACGCCCTCGCTGCGGTTGAGGGCGTCCTCCTCCAGCACCAGGGCGAACGGCAGCCGCGCCGCCACCACGCGCGCCCACACCTCCGCATGCGCTGCACTGTACCGCACGTCCTGCCTCCCTGCCCCTGCTCGCACCCCACCCTGCGGTGCTGCGCGGTACAGAGGGGCGTACCTGGGGGTGGCAGACAGGGAGGGGGTGATTACGGGACGAGCTTTGGTAGACGTACAGGAGAGGACGAGCTTTGGTAGACGTACAGGAGAGGACGAGCTTTGGTAGACGTACAGGAGAGGACGACCTTTGGTAGACGTACAGGAGAGGACGAGCTTTGGTAGACGTACAGGAGAGGACGAGCTTTGGTAGACGTACAGGAGAGGACGAGCTTTGGTAGACGTACAGGAGAGGACGAGCTTTGGTAGACGTACAGGAGAGGACGAGCTTTGGTAGACGTACAGGAGAGGACGAGCTTTGGTGTACGGTGGGGGAGAGGACGAGCTTTGGCGTACGGTGGGGGAGAGGACGGGAGCGACAAGCAGAGCGGACGGGGTGGGAACGAGATTGAGTGGGAAGGGCAAGGGAAAGGGAAATGCAAAAGATGGTGGGTGAAGTGTGGGTGGGCATGCGACACACCTGAGAGCGTGGGCATGTGAGACGTTGCGCGGCACGAGGGCGAGCGTGTACTGTAGCCCCACCGACTGCAGGCGCGCATCCAATTCCTGCCCATGGCACGGCATGGCACGGCATGGCACGGCATGGCACGGCACGGCATGGCATGGCACGGCACGGCATGGCATGGCACGGCATGGCACGGCACGGCATGGCATGGCACGGCACGGCATGGCATGGCATGGCATGGCACGGCATGGCATGGCATGGCACGGCATGGCATGGCATGGCATGGCACGGCATGGCATGGCATGGCATGGCACGGCATGGCATGGCGCCACAGAGAGGCGTGCACATGGGGTAGCAGCGAGCAGAGGAAGCGAGAGAGCAGAACGTGAGGAAGCAAGAAAGAATGAAGGCGGACGAAGTGAGAAAGCCGAGAGGGAAGCAAGTGGTGTAGAAGAGAGGTGGACTAAGAGGGAAAGCAGAGGGGAGTAAGTAGGAAAGCAGAGCGGAATACGTGGGAACGCAGGGGAATAGATGTACAGCAGCGAGGGGAGTACGTGAGAAAGCTTCGAGGGGAAGATGGTGGGGAGGGGAGAAGCAAGGGGGGAGGGCGGGGGGCGCACGGGCAGGAGGGGGCTGAGGCCGTGGGCGGGCAGGGCGGCGGAGAGGAGGAAGACGGCGTCGCTGCGCCAGTGGTGGCAGCGCAGGGGCAGCCCCGTGGAGCGCCGCACTGCCGGGTGCAGCGCCACGCGCCGCACGCGCCACTGCCCGCGCCCCTCCGCTGCTGCGCGCGCCCTGCTCTCCCCGCCCCTGCGCGCAGGCGAGGTGGCGTTGGCGGGCGCGCGGCCCTCCTCAGGTACCAGCGCCCCGCGCCTACCCACCCTCTGCACTGTCCTCCCTGCCATCCGCTCACACGCACTCCCCCCCTCATCTCCCCCTGCCACTGCCTCTCGTCGACCCCCCATCCCCTGCCCCAGCGGCAGCACCTCCATGTCCGCCAGCCGCCCCACCGCACGCATCCCCGTCACCACCCCTTCCCCCCCCCTCTCCGCGCCCCTCCACTTGCTGCGCCACACCCCCTGGCGCCACCGCGTCCTGCACTTCCCCGTTGCCCTCCCGCGCCCCACGGCTCTCCCCGCCTTCGCTGTGCTGCAGCGGCTGCCCGCCGCGTCCGCCCCTTGCCGTAACTACCAGCGCCCTCGCGCTCTCCGCCACGCCGCCATGGCGTGCGCGCTCGTCGCTCGCGCCAACGGCATCAGACTTGCTTCCGTCTGATCCACCCCCACCTCCCCACCATCGCACCCGCCACATCATCCCTCCAACCCGCCTGCTTACGCCTGCCCATCCGCTGTTCTTCGTCTTTTCCGCTCCCTTTTCCCCCGACTCCCTTTGCGCCCCCCCATCTCGCGCACTCCCACTCCCCCCCAGTCCGTTAATGCGCGCACTCTCGTCCGCAGAGAACTCGAGGAAGCTTCCGCCATTCCACTTGCGCTTGGTGTCACGGGGCGCGCGCAGCCCCTGCAACCGCCGTCCTGTTCCCCCTCTCCCTCCTGCGACAGTCACGGCGGCATGTGGTTGGGCGGCAGCGGCGATGGCGGTGAGGGGGACGAGGGGGAGCGGCGGAGGGGCCGCGGGTGGGAGGGAGAGGAAGATGCAGGTGAGGAGAGAGGCGAGAGCGACTAGCGCGAAGAGGGCGGCAATGCGGCTGGGCTGGGAGAGACGCGGGTGTGACGGGGTTGGTGGGAGGTTTGGGGAATGGAAGGAGGATGGCATGATGACGGTAAAGAAAGCTAAGGAATACTCTAATTGTGTTAGCTTGGTGCTATGTAGGCTGGCTCGCAAAAGGCGACCTAGAACTCGTTTAGAGCCAGCCTATAAAGCCTATAATTCTTGGCAAGATTTGATTTGCAAGGTTGAAAAGCAATCTGGGCCCAGTTAGAATATACTGATATTAAATCTCGTTAGATTATACTGATATGAAACCTTTGTCTCTGGTTGCATACTACATGCAGTAAACGTTTGATACTCATACAGACTCTTCGCATTGTGAACTAGTCTTATGAGGATTTGAATTGTGCATATGGATGCACTATACGCCATATATATATATATATATATATTTTCAAAGCACCAACCAGTTCACCATACGTTTGGTGAGAGACATTCACCAGAAAAACAAGCCAAATGCAACACCCTTAAAAAACCTCATCAAAAAACCCAAATTGAACACCCAGTCAGGACACCCCATCAACTGGACACCCAGTCAGGACACCCCATCAACACACCCCATCCCGCACCCCATTTCACATTTGCGCATCCACCATACGCCATATATTTTGTGTTAGCATGTGCATTTTTGGGACAAAATCAGGTTGAGATAAGAATTGAGATCCATTGTTGTTGATGGCTAGGTATGAAGCATTCAATATAGCAGTACACTACGCTTTTCTTCGCGACAGAGGGAAAAGTGGAGGCAACACAGGGAAGGTGCCACAGTTTCACATGTTTGTGGGTGGGCTTGGCTGAAACGAGCTCTTTCTGTCAACCACTCCCATGCCATCCCCTTTCACCGTAACCTAACCCTCACGGCACTGCGCTTGCACATCTTTCCACGTATGCTCCTTGGTTTCCGATTTTTCTAGTTCTGCGTTCGAACATACTCGTGTTTTTTTCGAGGCGGTTGTGCGAGTTTTGCGGATTATTTGAGAGACAGCTTATCACGGTGTCGGGATGTCCTACGCGTATTTGTTCAAGTACATCATCATCGGGGACACAGGTATTTCCTCGTTGATCATATCCCTAGTTCATACTATTTTCCGTTGAGGTCATGATTAGAGACGTCGGTTCCCCACTACCCACCCACCCCTCTCCGACCCCGCCTGCCCTCTCTTCTCCCCTCTCCGTCCCCCCTCTCTCGCCTCCTTTCTCCCCGCCCCTGTTCTCTTGTCTCTCCGTATTGGCAGGTGTAGGAAAGTCATGTCTGCTGCTTCAATTCACGGACAAAAGGTTCCAACCCGTACATGACTTGACAATTGGGGTGGAGTTCGGCGCACGTATGATTACTATTGAAGGAAAACCAATTAAGTTGCAGATCTGGGATACTGTGAGTGCCTTTCTTGCTGGTAGGATGTAAGGTTTCTACGCCGTCCTTAACGAGCGTGCTTTCTTGTGTGTTCAGGCTGGACAAGAGTCGTTTCGGTCCATCACAAGGTCATACTACCGAGGTGCAGCTGGAGCATTACTTGTATACGATATCACTAGGTATTGCTTTTCAGTTTCTGCCCTACCGCCATGGGTTGACTTCCGTGGGATGTTCGTCTCACAATAGAATGTTTCCCCCCCATTTTTTTAAAACACAGGAGAGAAACTTTTAACCATCTCACGAGCTGGCTTGAAGATGCTCGGCAGCATGCTAACTCGAATATGACCATTATGCTCATCGGAAATAAGAGTGATTTGGCACATCGTCGAGCAGTCAGCACCCAGGAAGGGGAGCAGTTTGCGAAGGAGAATGGACTTGTGTTCATGGAAACTTCAGCAAAGACTGCTCATAACGTGGAGGAGGTACGGCTTGTTCCTGTTTTCTGCCTCTCGTCCTCCCCATTCTCCCGACACTGAATCTCTGTCGACGTCCCATCGGAGTTTTTTTACCGCCGCATTTTCCTGTACTTTCGTCACATATCCAATTCCATTGCTGTACCTGTCCCGTTTCCTAGCACATCGCTCTGTTCACGAGCCAGTCTTGTTGATGTCTGTCTTTGCATGCCATTACAGGCCTTCATAAATACCGCAGCAAAAATATACCAGAAGATTCAAGAAGGCGTATTTGATGTTTCAAATGAGGTGATTTTTTTTTCCCCGGTTCTTTGTTTGTTTGTTCGTTTGTTTTTATATTTTTGCACAACTTAACCCTGGTATTCAACCGCTCACTGTTTGCATTTTCTTGTTCAAACAGACGTACGGTATTAAGGTGGGTTACGGTACTGGAGGCACACAAGGAGCAGGAGGAAGAAATGATGCCGCTGCACAGAGAGGAGGGTGCTGTTGAAAAAAACATCTGTGCTACGACTTATACTGTACACATTGGATTAGGTACCATATCTAGATTATGGTTCTAGAAATTGTGCTGTAAATTCTCTTCCAAGTATGCATCTTTTATGGCTGTGTAGCTACCGTAAGCCTAGTCTGCTAAATGTAGTGATGCAGTGTAACAATGGGTTTCAACTGAAATGCAAAATAGTGAACCCGGGGCCAACTTGAAAGGGGGCTTGAGCGAAACATTTTTCTCGCGTTTGCACTGTTCCATCGGGAGCATTTTTGCAGATCGGACAAATCTGATTGGTTCCCGCCAAACCCAAAAAAAGGAAACACAGCACGTCAGGCGTCGCACATCTGTTTGGGAAGGTGCCCAACTCTAGCACCGCGATCGCCCACGCACGTCCTTGCGATTTTGGGCCCAGCTTGGGGTTCAAGTTGGGCCTGGGTGAACTACGGTACTAGTTCTTCCGATCATACGGTACCAAATCGAAGCCCACAATAAGGCGAACACAATTGAGTAACGTGCGCGTGGGATAATGCATGTAAACCCGCCGAAAACTGCTGTGCTTCGATTCCCGACCGCACAAATCCCGTCTAAGAGCAGCGCACCTACCAGCGCTGACGTGAAAGTTGACTTGCGGCCCAATCAATCTTTCATGCGTTGGCAGGCAGCTGCATTTCACCCGAACCATCGAGAAGGGGCTGTAATGTCAAAATGAGGAATGGGTGGTGCATTGATGTTGGTTGGGGTACATATGACAAACCCTAACTTCTGTACCCCCTAAGACAAACCTCACTACAGGCTACAACATTTGACACACCCCCATAGCCTAAGTGAGGGGTGTCTAGCAAAAACAAAAAAGAGTACGGTCACAAGACCAGTCCAAAAGAAAACAAAGCTCAGGGTGGATCACAACGTCACCACACACTCTGAGCACAAGCAACAGTGGCCACAAGGCCAGTCCAAGAGATCACAAGTATATATAGTAAGTGTACAGACGAAGCAGGCAATAAACTCAAGTCTACGCATGACTAGAACCTGTGTCAACAAGGCCTAACTGCACACAACACCTCTGGTGGTCACAAGGCGGAAGCGCCTTGGTGAAGATGTCTGCAGTGTTGGCCTCGGACTCTGCAAACTCGAAGCGAGCCTGTCCACGCCTCTGCAACTCTCGCAGAAGAAAGTACCTGACGTGAATGTGCTTCACTCTGCTCTCCAGTCGCGGCTCACGACAGAGGAGGATCGACGCCTTGTTGTCAGTAAACAAGGTCGGTGCAGAGCTCGGCCGCTCACCAAGGTCGGCGAGCAAGAAGGTCAACCACCGTAACTCCTGTGCCGCCATGGCACCAGCGTAAATCTCAGCCTCAGCTGTAGAGGTCGAGACAGAAGAGGAGCGCGTGGAACGCCAGGAAACAGCTCCAGAACCCAGACTGAAACAGTACCCCTGAGTAGACCTGTGAGTCTCAGCGTCGTCAGCGTAAGAGGAGTCACAGTGACCAGTGAGTACGACAGACTGCTGCCCTCCAAGAACTAGCCCCACGCCTGATGTAGTCGCTAGGTACTTCGCCACCCTCACAGCTGCCGTCCAGTGAACAGGACGGTGTCTCCCTGGCGCAACAAAGCGCGCAAGGATGCTGAGAGGGAAGGCGAGGTCCGGGCGAGTACGAGTCATCAGGTACATGAGGCAACCCACAAGCTCTGCGTAGGGACCACTAGGCTCAAACGGCTCGTCAGGAAAGGGACCAGTGAGTCTGTGGTCAACAGCTAGAGGTGTGCGCTGTACGGTGGAGTGCTGAAGCTCGAACCGCTGAAGGACCTGCTGCACCATGTGTGACTGTGAGAGTGTAATGGTGCGAGCGGCTCTGTCCCTGGTGATCTGCAGGCCAAGGTAGTGGCGCAGCTCACCAAGATCAGTGCACGTGTGTCTCTTCTGCAGTTCGGACTTCACGTCTGCCAAAGCAACCCTGTCCGAAGTGGCGAAAACGAGGTCGTCGACGTAGACCAAAACAAAGAACGGCGTGGAGCCACGACGAACGAACAGCGACGGGTCGGCAGAAGACGGCTGGAACCCAAGGTCAGAGAGGGTAGAACGCAGAGTGTCGTGCCACTCACGAGGGGCCTGGCGAAGACCGTAAACAGGTCGCCTCAGCCTCCACTGGGTCCCAGGAGGGAAGGTGCCAGTGAAGGCCGAGGGACGACGCAACCAGACCTCCTCGTGTAGGCTGCCCTGAAGGAAAGCAGTGGAGAAGTCGAGAGAGTGTAACTCGTAGTCTCTCTGTGCTGCTACGTGTAGTAACACCCGAAGAGTGGTCATCTTCGGGGTAGGTGCGAAGGTCTGAAAGAAGTCAACTCCCTCGCGCTGACTGAAACCTCTAGCCACGTAGCGCGCCTTGAAGACCGGGGGAGATCCCGGTGGCCGCTTCACCCTGTAGATCCACATGCCGTCGACTACGTTCGCCCCAGGGGGGGGAACCTCATCGACGTAGGTGCCTGTGGATCTGTAGGAGGCCATCTCTGCGTCCATGGCAGCTCTCCACTGAGAGGCCCAAGGCCCTGACACTGCCTCAGCGTAAGTGCGAGGAGTCGGAATGTCAAGGGCGTCGGGGTCACCCTCAGGGGCGAGGAGCATGGCACAGAGATGAGGGGAAGCGGCCGCCAGGAACTCTAGCTCAAACTGCCTGTCCTCTAGGGCGTCACAGCCAAGGGCAGACACACCCCCGACGGCCAGAGGACT